ACCTGGTGCTACATTTGTCTAGAACCAGCCTACATGATTACCTCAGGATTCCAGGAAGAGTCGACTCGACCAGCAATCAACGATATTTGTGACGAAGATGAAGAAACCCTCAAGCAGCAAGCGAACCCACACGCAAAACTCCCAAGATCGTCGTGGATGGCGGATGCCAGTGTACAAATCAAATGCAAAAAGTGCTGGAACCCTCATAATGCGATACATGTGATGTTGGATCATGTAAAAAATAATCTGATAGCCGTCCAACTACATCTGTTCTCCATAGGTTTTGGCTTACATTTTGCCCTTTTTCCATGTCACTGAACTAATTGATTATCGTTTTTATTTTACCGGTACTTTTCTAAACGGTGGCGATGTCGTTGCCGGAACCATATTATAAGAGAAATTTGCCACCAATACCCATTTCGTCCCAAATGATATACTTTATTGTCCGCCAGAGTACGACCGTAAACACTTGGCAGGATGGTACTTCCTTTCCTGACCGTTTGTTTTCATGAGGAATGTAAAAGCTTTATAGAAGAGCTGTATTGTCATGCTGCAGTTGCGATAGAAGTCAGCTGGAGTTATTATGTAATGCCAGTTTATTCTTTGATCGCTGATAAGCACGCATTTTTTCCAATGCTTTTTTGTACCCAATAAAAAACAAGCGATGACAAAAACGATTGTATGTTCCCAGAAACAGTTCTTCTCCGATGTCATAGACGGGGTTGAATTGGTGGCGTCATCTTGCCTCAGCCAGGCAGATAACGTCGTACCTTATCCTTCTTGCTTGCATGAGCAAGTCTTCTATCGAGGACTAGGATGTAAGTGTACGTGCATAGTAGGTACAGATCGTCACTTTCGTTCTTCGTGATCCAGACAGCTTCTATTGGCTATGCTTCATCAGCCTCGCTGTACTCGTCCTAGTCTGCAGTACCGTATTGGTGGCTCTGTCGAGGTCGGTGGAATGATGCTCGTCTATATTACCGTGTTTAGTGTTCGATACTCACGTATCGTTTGCTGAGCTCTGACCATGAGGATGGGTGTACACACGGGTTGCTTGCCAATATAGGCTGGGAACCCACTTATTGCAGACAATTATTTAACAGCCTCACACATACTTTCCAATAACTTGATTGTGGGTTATTAGCCCATTAACTCGTAGAAAACAACCCGCTTAAACGAGAAAACACCCACGGACGCATGCATGAATACGTCTTCGTAAACACGAAACCTCTGGGCGAAATCGTCGCAACAGAAGCAGAGAGTCCATCCCCTGGATCTATCTGTCTCAAGGAGGCAAAGGTCACATTTTGTCCGCAATTAAACCCCCACTACTCGTCACTTGGCGACGCGCCACGTTGCTTCGCGACTAACCGCTCTATGAGGGAGATCTCTGGTGAAGGTCAAATTAGATACGCAAATCAAGCGATAGGGGGGCGGTAGTCCGCGTACTGTTCTTGGACAGATGAATGTGCACAGGTCCTTTAACTGGTCCTTTTTTACTGCTTTTTTCTTGGTCTGGAATACTTAAAGAGATATGTTATCGTGAAACTTGAAAGAAGAGAACTACATTGGTAGCTTGAACTCGAAAGAGGTTGGCTGTGTTATCTGGTCCTGGAACTGATCCCTTCCTCATGCTCCTGATCGTATCTCAGACTTCGAGGAGATGAGTGCTAAATTTTTCTCCACCGTTGAATTTAAGGTCTTGTTCTAGATTTTAGAATTGTGGAATGGGAAAGATTGGTATCTAAATTTTCGTCCAATAAAATAACTTGACAAGAGGAAGTGAGAGCTTAATCTTCACAACGATGACGATGGAAGGTGATAATCACGACGAGTGTAAACACCAATGCTTTATGTCTTGAGATGACCGACGAGATGGCCGCTTATGTTCCCAAATATCACTGGTAGTGCATAGAATGCAAATGTTGCAGCATGTACGTTATTGGGGATTGGGAGTGGGCTCAGTTTTTACATAGTTTTCCTCTTCAGCCTCCATGTGTTCATATGAATGTGTCTGCTTGAGATGACGGTCAAAAATTACTAGTCATACGACGTTTGCAGTTATATTCGGAGACAGATGAACTTTCCATTTCTCTTGGTTTTCGATGAAAGTTGCATAAAGCTGAATAAATGTGAATTCCCAGCTTTTCCATTTAGGAATCAGTGATATTCTGGAATCTTCTGCGACAAATGCGACCGTTCAAATTACGTTCACTGTATTGGATGGTCTGGAGCTCACCAGGATACCTAGAGCTGCCAGCAGTACTGTAATACTAGCATTTCCATTAATTCTTCTTGTACGGTCACCAGCAAGGAATTTTTTCTTTTTCTTCGAAGTTCGACATTTTCGGCTAAACATGAGGAATTCATTCAAGTTCAATCCATCGAATGAACCTTTCGAGATAGCTTTTATGAAAACGAGGAAGTTCTAGTCATAACACCTTAACGATTACCCGAAACTATACTCCACTTCCTGTTTTGCGAGACAAATGATGTTCCGTACTTAATTTCTAAGTCCTGCATACACGACCTATGGTCCATTATGGTTTACTGTTTATGAATAAAACAAATTCATTCTGCCTTTTAATGAGGTTCAACCTTGTCAATATTCCACATGACCTCCAGGGAAACCAATTCCTCGGTCACAAATATAGGAATGACTTTCTTTTTACATAACACTGCACAGTTATTAAAAACGGAACTGCACAACTGGTACGTCGCAGTACTGGGACACTCCACGTCCAATTTATGCCATCAATAATATGCAAAAACTCGGTATAAAAAAATTGTGCAACGATTATGAGTACAATATGACCTTTCCGAAGACAATGGACGGTTATTTAGAAAAAAAAGAAAAAAGAAATGCAAAGAAGGAGAGAAAGACAAAAGGAGCTACATACCAATGAAGAAAAGAGAGAACAGCCGTAGGCCTCTTATCGAAACTAAATAAACAAATACTGCTATGAACGTACTATGAAGCTATGATGGCAATTTCATGAGTGGGAAAACAAGAAGACATCAATGAAGGCTTTCCGATTACAGTTTATGGTACCAAGAGTACCAAAATTACCGCAACATAGCACCCGTGATTCACTATCATTGGCTCACTATGTTTGCCAATTTCTGGAAGTACGATGTAGTGTGCCATATCACTGAATAGTCAGATCAGCATAAAAGTTTCTGCTATCCTCATCAACCCAACCAAAGAAAAATTGTCGTAAACTGTCGCTATTTCATATTCGTTTGCAGAAATTCAAAGTTACTATATTTGCAGATAAACGAGTATTTCTTGAATATATTAATAAGTAAAGTGGATTCCTACGCCTGTACTTCCTACAGATAAGAATGCAATTCTTTTATAATGGTCAGCACCCACCTAGGTATATTTGGGAAAAATTCTGAGTAGAACAAGAGATGATGAATGTACGGGAGATTGGTCAGACAATGGTCGGTGTGAACTGAATCCCTAATAACCTTGTACCAATTTAGAAAGTACTTCTCAAATCGAGTAACTTAAACCTTCAAATTTACGTTGCGCCTTTACAATCTTGTATTCTCTCGTAGATGTTCAAGAGACAATAATTCGTAAACCACGACACAGTTAGTTTTACGGCTGAAGCGAGTTCCAAATTCGGTAGGGAGGTATTCGGTAAAAGAAATACTGTATATAAATTTAAGTGGGAATAATTAGCACCATAACTGAATAAACGGTGTTGTACGCCGTTCGAAACCCACTTCAGCCATTGCTACAAGTCCAGATCATTGACGCTGCTTAACGTTTGATGTTTCCGTCGAGTGAAAATCACTTCCACTTAGCAATCGCTCGGATTCTTTTTTGAGACTCAGTAACTGCTGTAGCTGTTCCTCAGCAAAAGCGTCCAACATTGTTGTCTCCAAATCCTGGTGATATCTCATGTGGAATTGTTATTTAAAAATCAATTTAAAACCTTCCTGAAACGAAAAGAAGAAAATAGGATGTGTAATAAATGCTCAATATTAATAGGACATTCACGATAGAACGATTTAATCTGATAGTCTTTTCTACAACTAAAACAGTGCAGAAATTGAGAGGTCGCGAGGATTGGCGAGAGGTTTTTCTCCACTACTGCCACAATTTTAGTTTTTTAAAATCAACGACTTTGCTTGAAATTGATATTTTCGAGAAAACCGAATCCAAACTTTTAAAACTTTTAGCGTGAGCGTGACTTTTAACGTATGACAATGATGAACTTGGGACTCTAACGCGTCGTATTGGATGAAGTATCGCGTTATCGGGCAGGTAAGCATTGAAATGAATGCGCATGCCAATAATGAACACAACAAAGCAGCACGTCTAATGGCATTTGGCAAAACATTTCTTAATATCTTTGTGGCGTGGATATGCATCGACGACTTGAAGCACACATATAGTCAGGGAACTGCTTATCCAATAGTATGCTTACTACCGCGATTTGTTTCTCAACTAAATAATTGTTCACACATTGCAGTTTTTCCAGTTACTCACTCCATCAGATGTTATAGATTTATCGTACTTAACACTAACCTTACCAATGAAACCTTTTGCTATGCCTTTTGAGGATAGTTGCTTTGATAGCGTCACATAATAGTCCTGAAACGGATCAGGAATTAGGAATCAAGTGCGTTTCTCACCCGAATATCTATCCAGACAAGGCGGCCGCTGTTGTTGTTGCGCCAGAATGTCCAGAGACTACAAGCCAAAAACATTAAGGATAAAGCTTTCCGTGTTCCTCAACCCCTCAAGGATGTGCTACTACTTCTTTAACTTCATTAAGCATCCAAGAGATGATAAAATGCATGTTTAACATGTACACTGACTTTCGGTCGTCTACTGATGCTGCTATCGAATCGAGCGCTACTATTCTCTCAGACAAGTTTCGCAGTAGTTTTTCAACCCCGTAGGGATGTGAAGCTTGGCAGATCTCTAGAGCGGAATCGAATTAAATACCACGTTTGTGGTTGGGACTCCCGTAACCACTGCGCTACACGCGCCCTACACAGATCTCGTAGACGGAAAATACATAATTTCCACCCACCGTCCATTCATTAATGAATGTAGCCGAATGCTCGGGACTAGCATCCTTGTGCCGCCGAAACTCGTCCTTCACATACATATCACCCATTATGCGTGCTTGAGGTGGCAACCCGTAGTGAAGACTGGATAAAGTCATATTAAATTTTACAAAACCAGTGGAATATGATGATCAATGGTTGAATATTGCAAGGACAACTGTTATGGACAAATTGGTTATTTGGGCTGCTGAATGACCTATCTTCATTAGTGGTGTGAACCTCAGTACGTTCGGCTGATCCCTCCTGTCATCAGTAATGATGAGTGTCTGCATTGGGAACATGACTAAATGGTTATTTGTAATTCACCTTTGGGTCATATTTCTCTGGATGTCAAAGATGAGACATTTCTCAATGGTGTGCATTGTGGAGTCGGATTTAATGTTTTGGTTCGCCGCAGTTCTTTGTGTTCTGTGCGACTCTTTCTTCATTTAGCTTCTCAAACAGACTAAACGTTCTGTTAAAGCGTAAGATGTAGATGCTTTCTCTAATAACGTAGTCGACCGCAACGATCTCTTTTCTATCGCACCACGAGATTTTCAATAACTGTGTTCCCTTTCCACGTATTCGAAATCTGGTCCTTTTCCTCACTAGGTTCAGTCTTTCGACCATGCTATCTGCTTCGCTTGTATTTTTCGAAAAGATGACGATCCAATCAGCAAAATATGAGGTTCACAGGAATTTTCCATTAATAAGTCTTCGTAATCCTCGTCCCAAATGAGACTTCAATATCCAAGAGCGAAACAGTTATACCTTGTCGAATCGCTTTTCTTAGCAGTGCAAAAGCAATGGCAGGCAATCAGAATTGTTATGTAGTACCTGTCGCTCTTGGCCGATAAGCGCTAGTGGAGAATAAAGGTATAACAAAAGATATAACAACGAGTAGGTGGCACTTTCGACAAATACATATGATTCTATGTACGTTCTGTTTCCTTCTTTCTTTCTTTCTTTTTTAAAGCAAGCTTTCCGTAAAGTCCGTGTGAACCACTTCATTTAGTGGGCCATATAACGGGCCTACTGTGTTCTCATTAGCTACAAACACTAGAGAGTGACAACTGATTACCAGTCGTCTTCTGGAGCGTAGACCGTAGAAGATGGACAGACAAGCGAGATGAAAGGATACGATGAGAGTTGACTGGTTGGGTAACACAAAAGTGAACCCTATAGTCTCTGCTGTTGATATTTCATAACGGAAACTTCTCCATGAATTGTAATAAAACTGTTACTTTACTAGCTTACGTTGATCTTTTCGGCTTTTGTTTATTCCAAGACCGGAAGTCAAGCGACCTACGCCCTCAAGAAAAGCGTGTAGATCGGCTATGAGGAGACGGTCCCAATGTAATAGTGAAATGTAAGAGATGGCCATGATGGCTTATCATGGACGAGCAATTCTGTCCTGATTCCAACGATACCCTATGAAAGTCGAGATCTTATCGGTTCTCAACTGATACCTTATCGATCGAAACCGAGTTTTCAGTTAGCGATGCACTGGTTTACTACTTGTTCAGCAGTTTTTCTCCTCTTTGGCACCAACCTAGCCTTTCCACGCTGTTCTCATGTCGTTACAAACCTTTATGGATAGAAGCAGCGAGTAAACTGCTTCCAGAATTGCAGCAATACCATGTTGTACTGGTGTACTCTTAGTTACTATTCTGCACGAAGTCCATTCCTTCAACGATGGATGATCTGGTTTAGGAATGAATACCTGTCGTACATCGCATATGTGGAACAGTAGTGCAACAACCAGGATCGGCTCTTCTAAATCACATCCGGATTCAGTTCATCATAACTTTTGCAGCACTAGCTCGCGATAATTCAGTACTTGGAACATGTTGCATTCCAATAAGGATAAAGGACAGAGCTTTCAACCCTAAGGGGTGCACCATGCATTCGACTTCATTAAGCATCGTTTGGAGGTGAGTGGATGCATATCTGGGCTTTACAACTACTCGCGGTGGCCTACCGATGTATCGAGCCAGTGCTGCGATTCCCCCAGACAAGTAGGGTACCAATTTGCTAATCCCAGAGGAACGGAAGGTTTGGTGAATCTTGGGAGCAGGAATATAACCCATGTGTACTGCAGAGCGCCTCCGACCACCGCACTACAGAGGTCCTGTTACATTCCAATATGTATAATAAATGAATATGACAAACCGTAATATTCGTTTATAGAGATATAACGCATATTGTTTCGGTTGCGTAAACGTATTAATCGCCTTTCGTATTGCCATAAATCTTAATAATAAAAGATTCCTAGAACAAGTCACATAGGTTTCCAACCATATAGCTGAAGCGTGAACACGTCATCCAATATCCTACAAAGACATACATAATGACAATTTATAAGTAGTCTATCGAAACCCAAAAGATTCTAAGATATAAAAACCTGACACAAAGACTAAAAGTCAAAACATTGAGTAAACATACAAATTACAACGTAATGACTACCTACAACAGAACACAGTTAAGCATTGGTTGAACAACAACCCTTTTCCATTCTGAACGGAAAACAAGGAACAATTCGTCTAACAATAGCTGTAATAAAAGTACACGTAAAGTACCAATAGCTATTCAAAAATTCCGTATGATGGACCTCTAAGGTACATAAAACTATTATCTGAGGCATTAGAGATGATAGCTACATAATTGTTTGTGATGTGCGCAACTAACCCAAAGAAACTGTTGAAAGCTACTGATTGTCTCTATTCTAACAATCCCTGCAATACTGATGCATTCAACTGTATGAAAAACAAGAACATACGTACAGAAAAGCACGCCTCATATTTGTTAAGAAACAAAGTCACTGGTTGAATACTCATAATGTAATAGATGTGCCCAAGATTAAAACACAAAGAAAACTCTTGACAGCATTACAATACGAATAACTTGTGGCTGAACTTGAATGGAGACGTTGTTGATGAAGAAATCCTAAGCAGTGGAACTCTTTGCTCTTCTTTCGCGTTCTTCATGAAGAGGAACAACAGGTTCAACTTCGCCGCACCTAACCTGCAACTTACACCTCGTGTTCACGTAAAAAACGATATGATTGAATTATCGAGACGAACTTCACAGCGTTCAGCTACAGCCATGTTTCTTTCGTGGGAAAACGAATTCCTGTCACCAACATCGTATTTGAGGGAAGAAGTTATGCGCACAGGCTGCTGCCTCCAATGAACAAAAGTAGACGACGCCTCATGAGAATCGCTAGGCCATATATTCTAAAATGGAAGAATGTAAAACGATCTCTCAAGGAGAAAGACTATTAGCACACAGTAAGAAACATACTACTCCGTATGACAACAGGAACGCAGTACCATGGTTAGATAATTCTTGTTGAAATACACTCTCAGGTACTTGACCCAGGAGGTCTCGCTTAAGTGCTTGCATCCGGCTAATGTAAAGTTCCTTAAGATTGTGCTGCTCACGAGCTTTGCTGAAAACTGTATTTTGAAGGGGTGACATTATATGAATATAGCTGAAAAACCTCAACTAACCAGCGAGGAATAACTGCACATTAAGTCGGTCAAATTGTGAAAAAGTTCGAAATACCAAAGCAGAAGGAACTAAAACTAAGAGCACTATCTCTACGACCGCACTGTGAAATAAACTACCTCCGGACAAAAAATGCCAAATTATTCGACAAGTTGACTTCAGACAGGCGAAAACAAGCGATGACTGAATTTTAAATTGTCCGATGCATTTCCGAGAAAAACTATTTGGAAATTGTCGGTCTGTTCTTCAACCATGTAAACTTTTTTCACTCTAGACGGAACTTCAAATCAAACTTTGGCGAATAGCGTAATTTCCAGAAAAAAGCAATTATGCTCTGTTTTGTAGAAAGGAAATCTACTGAAAACCGCAACTATTTGGAATACGAATGTTTACGTGTTCCCGCATGGTGTGGTGGTGAACGCGTTACTCCCCGGAAAGGATAATAGCGCGTTCGTTCCCCACCACAGACACCTGCGGTCCAGAGTTTTGCAAATATCTCAGCAACGTTGTGCTTATATACATTCTTGATTTGAAACATTGATACCTATAATGCTTCTGAACCGTTGTTCGAGGTATTTTGTAGTAGTGAGCAGCTTGAGTGACTGTCATCGTCCCACGCATAACTTGTTTGACAGCATCACAAAGTAAGCTACGTGTGTAATATCCACGTCTTCTGCAAACAGACAATAACAGCTTGTAAACAGAACGTGCCATATCTGAAAACCTAGGACCCAAACAGAAAACGGCTAAACTAACGGTTTCCTGTCCTCGCTGAATGGTAAGGGCACAGTTGAGTTGAAAACATGAAATCCCATGAGCCGATTTTAGAACAGTAGCACGGTAGACGAAGTCAATATAGACAGCCTGAAAAATACGATGGTCTTCAATCCACAGAAGAATATAGAGCTATACTACTTGGAAACAAGGATAAAATATAACAAGAAACTGAGCACTTCACATACGAGCATAGGGACCAAATAATAAGAAACAACAAATGACAGTAAAATCAATTACCATTAGTAAATGAATTACGAGATAAAGCATAAAGAAGGAAGCTTTCGGCGTTGATCAACCACTGAGCGACGCGCCATGCATTTAACTTCATTAGGCATCGTTGGAGATGACTGAAAGCATACCTGGCCTGCCTGTACACTGACTTGTGGTGCGCTGCCGATGTATCAAGTCAGTGCTGCTCTCCTCCCAGACGAGTCTGGCGGCACCAATTTGCCAACCTCGGAGGGATGGAGGGCTTGGTGGGCCGGTGGCGTGGGGATCGACTCCAAATGTATTGAAGAGCGCCTCCGACCACTGCACCATAAGCGCCCCTACGAATCACGAGAACATGCATAGAAATCGTGCTACTTAACCGTTTTATTTAGTGCCTACTCTTTTTAATGGCAGGGTATATTGCGAAACATAACTCCAATGACGGTGAGATATTTGCAAAACCCCGGATCACAGGTGTCCGCGGTGGGGAACGGACGAGTTGTTGTCCTTTCCGGGGAGTAAAGCGTTCACCACTACACCATGCGGGTCCTTCGTTTCGCCCCTGTCTTTCAGTTAGTTCTATCGATCTCTGCCATCAGCAATAGCGCGTTCGTTCCCCGCCACAGACACCTGCGGTCCGGAGTTTTGCAAATATCTCAGCATCATTGAAGTTATGCTACTTATATTAGTGTTTTAGGTGCTAGTATTTCCAAGTACTGCGCTAAATTGATTTTAAAGAGTAATCGCAATTTCTACTGTCAAACAAGATACGCTCCAAACAAGATTCTCAAGAGAATGTATTGACTCCAGTGCACAGGTGGCCGAAAACAATTTCAGTTGAAGATCAATATCATTAATTTGGTCAACCTTTTGAATTCGAATGATTTGATTAATTGACTTGAATCAATCAATAATTCGACTTTAGTTGAATTAATCGTGTGTGCTCTTACAGTGAAATCCGTTGACTGGAACAAAGATCACTTAGAATTCACGGTTCTTCCACAAAAAGGTGCAATATTAGTTATTCTGCTAAAATGAAACCCGTATTTCCTGGAGCCCTTAAACCCCTTCTTACCTAAATCCCTATTTCGAATGGCGAAGCGGTAGACCCGAACCGCCACAGCAGTTTTCACGGGATTCCAGTGAACGACTTTCACATCAGACTATTTCCATCACTTACATTTAAACAATGAAGTAGAAACCTACACAAAATGTAAAGAAGGGATGTCTATATATCTAAGAATTCATTACCAAAAAATGTAAAGGATAAACCTCTCGGCGCTGATCAATCACAGAGATGCACTAAGCACTCGACTTCACTGAGCAACAATGGAGCTGACTGAATGCATATCTGGCTTTTACAATGACTCGAGGTGGCCCACCGATGTGCTCGATGAGCTACTGCTGCTGTACTCCCAGACAAGTCGTACCAAGTCCCCAACCCCGGAAGGATGGAAAATCGGAGAGTTGCCATGTGTGTAATAATGTGCCTCCGACCACTGCGCTAAATGCGCCCACCAAAAAATATAGACCTGAATATACTGCAAGGAAGCATTAACAAACACTTTAGGTGCTACGCTGTAGATTTACATCTGAATAAGGGCTCCAAAATTTATAAAGGCACACTTTTCAACCAGCTATCACAAGTCCTTTTCACAGGGAATTACCCCAAATGAAACAAAATGATACTTATTAGCTGACGTTTTATACGGTAGCAAACCAAAAAAAAAAAAACAGACAACAAATCAGTCGAAGTCAAAGATCACGAAACTACACGTAAACAAGGAAACGGAGCAAAAATGACGGCTGAAACAAAACAAAACAAAGCAGAAGGAGGACCGCAGTACACCAACAATACGTACTCTTTACAATAGACCAAGGACCTGTAAACAGTACTTACTTAGATCTGCTGAAATTAAACATCTTACAAACAGTGAATGTGTAACCATTCAATACACAATCAGCGATGAAAGGAAAGAACCTGGATTTTAATATAGGCCAAAAAAGATGTGTTCCGCACGGTGCTATTATTTCAGTGGCATTTTTTATAGGAATAATAGGAAAAATAAGAAATAACAGACTAAATCCTAAAAATATGGATCGACATGGTATGACATATCTGCAAAAGAACTTGCACAACCGAAATTACAATCTGCGTCGTTGCCACAGCTAGGAAAAGTTCTATTATAGCAGGCTTCGCCGTTATTTGGTCGAATACCGTCACTTTACAATGTACCAAATCCTCCGTGGTAAAAAATGAAGCCTGTTTACTCCGTCCACAACGGCGAAAAGTTGTTAGGTATGTAGCGGCAGTAAAAATGTACAATAGACACCGAATATAATAAAGAATAACGAAAAACTTGATCCAGTAACGAACGTTGAATTTGTTTGCCCAGTAATTTTCGTATAAAAGCACAACTATAGCTCGACCTCGTCGTCATCTAAGATCACAAAACAGTCTTCACCAAGTTCTTCTTCCGGCAGGTACGACACTCGGTGAGACTAAACCATAACATTAACCTGTTCTATGTTCATCACAGCATGTCATACAAATGGTCAATAGCTCCAGAATTTTAAAATACACAAGCAAACGATAAACGTAAAAATGGCATAAAGTTGATACCTAAACTCATAGCACATATTAAACAAAATATCTAAAGTACGTGTTCATGTACCGAATTAATTCCGTTGGTAGCTTGTCCATTTGCATGACCAGACCGTTGCCGTTTTGGAGATATTGAAAACCGTGAATGTAAATCCAATGTACGCTTCGGACGCTAACAAAAATAATCTAGTTCTTTACTCATCGCCTTTCCACAACTGTCACCATATAGCACGAAAAATCAATAACGAATAGATGATACCGTTTTTTTCGCTTCAGGACTTCTCTTCAACGAATTTGGGCTACAAATGCTACCAGAAATAGCAGCTCTGAACGCTCGCCTTTCTTCCTCAAATCAAAGCACGGTAAGCCAATGATCATAAATGGTAAATAAATTACATTTCAATTACTGTTAATACCTCAACCGCAGCAAGACGCTTAGCTCTCAAACTGTCACTTCGTTGCCGTAACCTACGGTTTAAGATACCGTCATTCGGACTTTCCTGCAAAAAAGATCAACTCCGGCGGAAAATTCCATGTGCAAATCTATGACTAGTGCTATCATAAAGTTTAACTAATTCCAGCAAAAAGAGATAGACAAGATGCTGTAAACAACAAACGGGTCATCGGACCATAACGATGAACACCCAGTCTCCACTTCAACTATTTCACGCATTCAGTTGATTTCTTTGCAGGTAAACTTTTCATTGTGAACAACACAAAACAAAGTGAACAAAATCCTACATAGTAATCAGAACTACGAACAAATGAGAATTCTTTTTATGGATAAATTTACCGTATTCTCTCCACGTTGCCTTTCCTCGTCATCACTTTCGCAACACTGGGCGCAATGCCATTCACAATTGACCTAAATTTGACCGATGTATGTATAGTAAGCAAAACTATGCATGAAAAACATGACGAAAGCTCAAAAACTTCAAACTGAGGTATAAAGAACCTTTTTCGGTACTTTTTCAAGTGGAGGGTCGAGACAGCCTATGTGATAATATTCGTAACAAGAATCACATCCAATGATTAAGTGCTGGTCGTGGCTCTGAAACGTATTTTCGCGTAATGAAAAAAATAAAATATATGAAAAATACTATGGACTAGGAATATTTAAGACAAAAATAAGTGGCAAAATGTGGATTAAATAGGGAATTCTACGCCGAACACTATCCCAACACCTGTGAGCTTATGTATTTCATTATTTAGTTGGACACTTGGATGGCCCGCCTTCACTGGTTGTGCGGCCGCACCACAATTTCCATTTATTCAAAGTTTCGCTGGCTTAGCTCCTTCTCAGAACCGATGGGAGGATTACATTACAACCAATCTTGGTAAATATTTAGAAACTTATGCAACACACCTTTCCACATTCCTTGCACATGTTTATTGTTATTTCCTTCACGAGTTTTGGTGGACTATCCGAAGAATCCATTGGCGAGTTTTTTACCAAAGAATTTCGCCTAAGAACAAAAGTGCTTGAACCAAAATGGCAATACCACCCAATTTAACGTGAACAACAACAATTTTAAACCACAATGAACATACGCCTTCCCATTAACAGGAGAATCACAATATTGCACAAAAATGGGATTAATATCGAAAATTTTTCTAGCGCCAAGCCTCACGAGCGCAGCATGAAAAGCATTCGCCAATTGCTTCCTTCTCTCACTACGCTCTCTGCCGAGAAGTCCAGACTGCTCGTTCTAAAGAAAAAATTCGAAAGTTGTGTTTTAAATCGAATCGCATGACAATTACACCTCTTCATAAGAACAACATGTCGTTCACGAAGCGTTAAATGGACATTTATCTAAAAAAGGACTCAACTTCAAGAGCGATAAGGAACGAACCAGTTTCAATTTAGTCGTTTGCGATTCCAGTTGTTGCTTCAAAGATATTTTAGAGTCCTTAATAGACTGAAGTTTACGTTCTTCAGTGGCTATCACAAGACGTTCACGGTTTTCCACATACCTGAAGCAAAAATACACCAAAACAGTCGCTTTAAAGAACCTTCTATTTCAACTATTTCTGCAGTCTTTAAGAAACTGACTCAAAAACTAGCGAAAAAATTGGACACAAAAAGTGGAAACTTACTCAAAAAATTGTGCAGAAAAGCCCGGCGTAAGAAAGGGAATGAAGTCTCCAGAAACTTTAGTGAATTCCTTAAATACCACTTTAACTCGTTTGACTTCAAGACGTTTCCACTACCACAATTTTAACGTCAAAACCTGTCTAAAGTGCACTGGCTCTATTCCGCTTAGCTCAGCTTTCTCTTGAAACCACTCGAAAAATTCTGGTGAGCTCGTTAAATGACGTGCACGTTTTGTCTTCTTTTCGGCCTATTAACAACGCTTGATTAGGAAACAACAGTGCATTTCTAGAATTGGAAAACAACCTTATCATGGAATGCTTCGGGAAGACAAATTGTGACTCCCATCAGTGATTGGAACAGTTTTTCGTACTTCTCTTTTGCTCTTAATCTTTTACGCTCCTCTCTTTCGGAAAGAACCTTCTTTCCCACCATAAATAGTCGATTTTGTTCTTGCACTATAAAATTAGCCGCTCTAAAAGAAACGCAGTGTGAAACTTAAAAAGGTACTCTTAAAATCATGTTTTGAAAGAAAATATGAAGATAACCTACGCTACTTTCTTAAGATGCACATCAGTAGGATTAGAATGCTGCTTGCAAGTGATGTAACGAGGTTCTACGGTGTGGTGTTCAACGTGTTTATGTGAGGCCAATGCCCCAGAATTATGATCAGGGCTGTCGCTATGATCCACCAGCAGACCAAGTCGAAAAAAAACACCATAAATTAAAATAAGAAGGTGCAACTTTACTTAGTGATAAAAGATTTAGCATATGGATAATACGAAAGATTGAAAAACCTGTCGCCTATGAAAAACACGAATCCGAGCGAAAAGACATGTGTTGTGCGAAAAGTCGTACCTTTGTGCACATGTCACATGATAGTACAATTTACACAGTCCGACCTCGCACCGACTTACAACACCGGAACGCGCCTCTAATATGTCCGTGCAACCATTACAGCTCTAAAAATGCTTTAATATTAACAATATCATTATAACAATAATATTACATAAATAAGATTAAAAATAGCTGAGAGACACGCAAAGCAAGGGCCTCAGTGATGTAGTGTGCAATACACGAGCCTCCGAAAAGGGGTGTGCACTAATCGCAGTTTGATCTGGCACGTCGAGCAAGTTTCGCGAATATCTCAGCACAGTTGTGGTTATGTAATTAATATTATCTATTCTATTTTATTAGGAGAGTTAATTGATCGTGTTCCTGAACGAGTCCTTTACAAATCTGACTCCAATCAAGGCAAGCCATCCAAACCTATTAACAATTTCTGTCAACTTTGAACATATATTTTCTCACCTAAAATTTCCAAAATCGGGATTTCATTTCGTACTATTACTTTTCTACTCGGCACATACAATTTATTGTGTGAAGTAGGGTTTACAAAGGATATTCCACTGCAAAGTTATATACTAATACTCACTTTATATATTACGCGCGACAGACACAATCTAGTCTTATTATGTTTTCTCTTAACAATAAGAGGAAGACTGCTACTGCAAGACATGAAAAATGGTACAAACAGTCGTCGTTGCACACGGGACACTGTTAGTTTATTTTATTACAGTTCATTATTGTTATTATCAATTACGGTTCTCTGTTGATCTATTGCTATAATGAACCCATGGCGCGAAGGCGAAACGATCGAACTGGACGGTTCTTCTACTACACAGTCCACACCGAATATGTACCTTAAGTGTTCAATGAACATGGAGAACAACAAGGAGGCGTCAAACAGATGTATTGCAGCATAGGCCGCATTCGGGAGACCCAAAACTCCGCACCCACCTTTTCGATTCAACAGTCCTTTCAATGCTCTGTTATACGGCAGACACGTGTACTGATACCTCAACCACTACAGCAATCCTGTGTAGCACACACAGACCAAATCAACGATCTGTTCCGAAATATAGCCGGCACACACAATATCTGGGCGGAATGCGTAGCTGAGATCTTCAAAACCTATCTAACTTTCGGTATTCAGATATACATCGACAGTGAAACGCAGATGGGCTGGTTATAAGGGGAAAGGAAAAGCAGACGAAGGATGGACGAATAGAACTGCACGGTGGTCTCCATGAGGATGCAGGGGTACCCTAGGACCAACACCTACACAATGGACGGAGGTGCTTTCAAGTGAAACCAGTCAAATGTTGTCGCACCTGCAGACATTTACAGAACATGAAACTCATAAACACCTCCATGCTCTAAGCAAACCGCCACAAATGACGATGATCGTAAGCCAAAGAAACACATCGAGAATATATTGGGATCCACAATGCCTTTGAGTACGCGTCGTCCAAGAACTCAAATAAGTCTATATTAAAGAACAATGCCCGGTAAGCATATCTCATATGTGCGGTGTTCACAGAAGAACATCTCATCTCGGTACGACAACGATGACTCCACCTCGAGTACACGAACAACTGTGGATCACCGACACTGACTCGGATCATCAACTCTAATGAAGATGAAAGCGTCGGAACGTTAGCCGAATAAATGTATTTACCAACCTCGTGTAAGCTCAACAGTTTAAATACATGTTGATTACCCAAATAAGTGTTGTATTTCATTATCATTGTAGTTGGGATATTGCTAGTACATTATTATTATATTGGCAATACTCAGATCAAAAATATTTACACCTACTGAAAAGATCTATTCTAGTAGACTCTCTAGAAATTAATACTGGACTTTAACCTATTTTTCAAAGTGAAATATCCCGCTGAAAATAAATTTTATTGGTCGAAGTAAAATCAATAGGCACTAGACACTTTTCATCAACGATAAATAACGATAAATAGTTTTACATATATCGAGTGCGTGCAGCGCAGTGGTTACAGGCGCACACAAGGAATCGTTCCTACGCCCCAGGCTCACCAAGTCTTTCAACTCTTCGGCGTCGGCAAACTGATACCAGACTTGTCTGGTAGGATAGCAACAGTGAATCGATACATCGGTAGGCCACCGTGAGTTATTACAAGTACTAAGTATTATTACAAGTATTGTCATAGTATTATATATTATAGTATAATTATCATACATTGTATACTATAGTATACTATTATAGCACATCATATTATAATATTACTGTAGTACTATTATAAGTTATTACAAGTATAGTTATTTATACGTCAGATATGCATTCAATCACCTCCAAACAATGCTTAACGAAGTCGAATGCATGGCGCATCCCTCACCGATTCATCAACGCCGAGAGCTTCATCCTTTATAGTGGCTACATAAAATTTCGAACTTCTGAAGGTGATGAAATCGTTGAAGGCAGTTTTAACCTCGGCTTAGTTTTTGAAGCACTTCCGAAGTTTTTCGTGGCCGGGCCAGGCGAGTATGGCGAGTGAGACTAAACATCGTATCCCAGCTCGCTCAACATCTGTGTGTCCGCGCGTTACCATGAAGTTGTCCCCTTTTTGTCGATCAAGGAAGGCAGCAGCCGTTGAAGATTTTTGAGCACTTTTGTCAAATTGCTGGACATAGTTCTTCATGATAATCGCTTCAGATGAACCTACGAAGCTGTGATGAATTAAACCAGGAGCAATCCACCAAACCGGCACCATCACCTTTTGGTGCAATTTCGGCGCGGAGCTTCATGGCGATTCAATCATAGAACCTATCGTTGCCGATTGTTGTAAAGGATCCATTCCTCACCGTAGGACGCAATACGATTGAGAAATAAAGGACGCAGAAGAAACGCCTACTACATCTGAAAATGGCGAATTTTTTATTGCTTTCCAATTTGTCTGGCTTTCGTTTGTCCAGCTGCTTCAACTTTCCAACTTTTTTGAAAGCTCTGAAACGTTAGATGCTTATAGTGAGTTCTTCTGCAAATTGCTGAACAGCTGTGCATGTACACCAAAGCTTTCAATACTTCCATGTCAAAAGCAGGACATTTGTGACCTAGCTCATCTTCAAGATTGAATTTGCTGAGATGGAATTTTTTGAATCAACATGCCACTGTGCGCCCGTTAATGTTCGCTTGGCTCCATACGCCAGTACTGTTTCGAGGTTCTGGCCCTGCGTATGGCCGAGTTAGAATTCGTAAAAGCGAATTTATCGACATTCCTGTTTTGACAAGAGATCTCTGGCCATTAAAAATCCTTAATAGCAGAACTTATGTAATAATTCAACTCTACAAAGTAAAACTGCATAAAGATAAATTTGCAACAGAATACAATAGCACAGCATTCGAAATAAACTACTGCTAAAGAACATACAAAGAGAGAAAATTAGGTCCCAAACCTGACATGAATTTATGAAAAACCTAGTACTAAATGAAGAATCTTATTTTGATTTAATAGGTTGCTGGTTTCTTCATCCAGATTTGGGGCATGCAGAGTATCTGTTTATTCTACTCCTTTCGTAAGGTGGGACATATGCCGCCTATATCTCCTAGGCATGTAAATGATACGGTCTTCGTTATTAGCCGCTCGCCAATTATCACATACCCTAATTCAGTCAAAAGTGTCCATCCTAGGGATTTTGAGGTGGTAAATCGTGGCACTACGCGGCGGGTCCACAGATGACAGAGATACAACTACACGGTGATCAATGGCTACCTACTAACCTGGGAAGCAGGTGGATTTATGGGACATCCTTGTTACTCATGCGGAGTGAGTGCGAATAACGTCCAGTAACCAACAACAACAACCGTTTACACAAATTTTCACTCTCACAGCCTGAGAAACATCAATAAGGTGTCGGAAAGCTCATCAAGGCTAGTCCATATATACGGACTATTTCGACGTACGCACCGAAACCAATTCTCATAGTTGTAAATAAGTTCATACTCTATTTCTAGACATCTTTGTACTCTATCATCATCGTTTTACTAAGCGACCACAAAGCGCAAGAACCTTGAACAATAAACATGTTTAAAAAAACTACTATCCATGCGTCAAGGTAAGTTTTAAAAGCATGTTAGTTTGTATAACACTAAGCAAAGTGCTAACTTTTTATTAATTGCCTATTACAATATTTCCCGGCATGGTATTGTGTGTGATACAACCACAATGATGCTAAGATATTTGCAAAACTCCGGATCACAGGTGTTTGTGATTGGGAACGCACGCGCTATTACCCTTTTCGGGGACTAATGCGTTCACCACCACACCATACGGGTCCTTCGTTTCGCCTGTCTCCTCCGGAAAGAGTAATAGTGCGTTGGTTCCCCAACGCAGGAACCTGTGGTCAGGAATGTCGCAAATATCTCAGCATCGTTGTAGTTGTATCACAGTACGCAAAATACTTCTACAAAACCAGTAATACATTTCGCATATGCCTCTTCGAGACCTTAATAAACCCTACCCAATTATTGCAGTCACTTTTTATTTATTGCCTATACTGTTTTCATGGCAAGCTATGATGTGAAACATAACCACAGAATGATGCCGAGATATTTGCAAAACTCCGGACTGCAGATGTCTGGTGTGGGCTGACATATTCACCACCACACCATGCAAGTCCATCAGAAAGAGTAATAACGGGTTCGATCCCCACCGCAGACACCTGCGTTTCAGTTTTTCAAATATCTCAGCATCATTGTGGTTATTTTTCCTACCCGACTATTTTTAAAAACTGATTATCATCTAACCCGACATGAACATCAAATATTTTGACACAGTAACAAGCTTACACGAGGTTTTTACAAAATTTTGTTGTCATTAGTATTTCCAGGCTAACGTTTCGGTCATGAACGGGCCTCACTGATACGAGTCGAACGCCGACAACAGTTACTGCTTGTGAAGTGTGACTTTTTGCATTCGCAACAAATCGAAACGAATGGTATGAAACCCCGTACGAATAACATTCCTCGATTAGACGTGATATTGAAAACAGAAAATTGCAGAAATTTCTTATGGACACTAAAGTCCATTCGTGGCAAGTACTAGATGCTGCCAAAATTCTATAGTAAAATTAAGTAACAGTTTCGCACAAGCTTATCTAACATTCTACCATTTCAACAGTATTACTTCCCTATTTAAAGCAATTATTTGCCTCTCAGCACTAGATCAATCGCTGTCAGAAAGACAGTGCGGCAGAAACCTTCTGTAATGAAAAAATTCACTCGCAAAATTCCATTTCAAAGAGTTGAATGCCTTGATTTTAGAAAGAGAAAACGTAGAAAAGATGAATTTCAAAGCTATCTAGTCAATAATGAATTTCACAAGTGTTTCTAAGTCATTTGAATGGCAGCATGAATTTAGTTATGCACAACAGGACAACGCTTGTAATGAAGGTACTGATCTCTGTACTTATGTTTAAATTACATTATTATACGTTTATTATAATTTACAGTTATAGTTTATATTATTTACATTTATATTAAACAAGTTGACATACTTATTTATGTGGCCGTATGAACTGATCTTCTTTAGCTGATGCGAGGTTGGTACAGGTCTTTGTTGTCGTTGTTGCTGTTGACGTTGTTGATCGATGGCTGACGTTTCGGCGATTTCGCCTACCTCAGAACCGTTATGTTATGAGTGGAACTTCCACTGCTAAAGGTCGTGTGTTGTTGTTTGTCGTTGCTGTTGTCCAACTTGTAACATCACGGCTTCGAGGAAGGCGAAATCGCCGAGACGTCAGCCATAGATCAGCGACACCAGCACAAACAGCAACAACAACAACGACAACGACAATGAACACCTATACCAACGTCGCATCAGCTAAAGAAGATCAGTTTATAAGACCACATAAATAAATATATCAACTATCCATGCCGAGGTTTATAGAAAGTTGGTCTTCTCAATTATGGAAGCGCTGGACCGCCATAGCGTCCCTTCTCATTATATTAAACATGAGATAAACCTTTCTGCCAAAAATCCGGTGATCCATCTCTTGCCAGCTTACAGCACTTAGATGGTCGATGTCACCGAAGGTAACACCGCGTGTGTATAGCGCACATATAAGATGAACCCACCGTCCACCTACATCTGAATAACAAATAATTCGTTAAAAAAACAGTTCATTCGGCAGAATAATAAAAATAATGTGGAAAATATGAATAGAGAGGAAATATACCAGAGCGCTTCATTGCTCCGTATCTTGATGGGCAAAGCTCACAATAGGGCGGTTCTTGGAACCCAAATATGCAAGGTTCGCAGAACCATGGTTCCATTGAAGAACTTGAATCGGTGCTGTCGTTATCCTCGGTAACATCTAAAGTAGGATAACAAGAATCGTGCACCGTTAAACCGCACCTGAAAAAACAGATTATGTCTGCGAATTAGAGAGCGCACAAAGCACAAGGAAATCTAAAAATAAGATCTAAAAAACCATACAGCAGGTTGAAAGTACGCGTAAATTACTTAGAGATCCTTTCCTTTCTACACCATAGAAGGACAAAAAACATGGCTCCATCATTTTCATAAAAGACAACCAATTGAAGCTTAATGTTACACCCTCCACAGATTCCTTTTATGGCTAACTGATGCCTAAGAGATAGATACTTGGTCTAAGCAATGGTCGGCGGTTAAAACCCCAATACTACGGTCAGAATCAACATATTATTGTACTAAGTTACATTCGTTATGAAACTAGTAGAATGAAGGAGACTTAAACAACAAAAAAGCTTACTTGTCACATTGCATAAGCTCTTCGCTCTTTTCGTTTCGGGTGAGACTGAGACATACGGCGCAAATCAGAGCTCGCTAGAAGAAGAGTTTAAATAACATGAACTAGAAATATATAGGCTATCTAAGCTCACCCTGAAAGGAAGGGTGACCAAGTTTAGGAAAAGTTTAAGAAATTTAAAGAATTTCCTGAATATAACATTTAGAGCACGGCACGAGATGACTCCCAATCATACATAGAGGGTTGGAAGAGTGCAATCGCCAACTCATACCAACACATTATTTTGATATGTTTCTACGTCTTGGAATATTCTCACTGATATTTACTGCAAATTATGCCGAGGAATCAGCACTAAAGAGTGTTGTTAATACGAGGTTATATATGGTTTGCATGCATAGAACGGTCGGCTGACATGAATTGGTTTTAATTCACAGCGCTTGCAGCCAGAAGACAATTGTTGTACCAGTTCGCCACACGAAATTACGCGTCGAAGGTTGTGTTAAAGAGATCTGCACGAATTTCAAATTCAAAAATTGGTTAACTTAGGCTTGTAGCTTAGTACAACGTCAACATTTCACGACTTGGAAACGAAAAAAACAAGAGCTGTTGAGGGCTGGACAATGACAATCACTCACCTCTGCGTTGCCATCGGATTTGGTTCCGCTAGTGACGATATCCTACAATGTGGTCACAAGAGATCACTAAAGAAAACCATGCAGCTTTTTTCACCACATACCTCATTGTTCGTTCCACCACTTTCTTCTTCCTCTTCATCTTCCTCAGAGGAGCTGCTTGAGTCATCGTCAGAACCAACGGATTCGGAATCGGAGCACTCAGTTGATCCATTGTCATGCTCTGCTAGAAAACCTCAATTATAAGATAACCCCTAATTACATAGCGCTGCATTAGTAAGATGATTTAGGGTTAGATAAGAATACAAGACAAAGGAGTTGAGACCGTAACAGCATCATAATGCCGAATAATAATACATTTAATAGTTAACAATAAGGAATAACAACAGTATCAACTACAATAATAGGATTACTTAGATCTTGCTATTCAATTCAATGACCTACCGAGATTACTGAATAATACGAAAATAGCAAGGAAATACCTATGAAATCTTCGTCGTCATCTTCATCATCAGCGTTTGGTAATACCATGTCGAGAACTGCAGCTGTCGGTTTAATTTGTCTTTTTCCAGGTGCGCGAGAACCTAGGAAATATAGATAATGGAAATATGTATTAATAACCTTAAATTAAAAAACAGAATAGTGACTAGCAGTCACCAACTAAATTTCAGAACACAGGACGAACATATTATTAAATCATCGTTGCTATCCTCCCAGATAAGCCTAGTACCAATTTCCCAACCTCGAAGGGATGGAGAACTTGGAAAAGCCGGCACGCGGGATCCAGTTAACGTCCGCGTATGTATTACAGGACACCTACAAACAGCGCGCTACACGCGTCCCGTTTTGCAACACATGAGCAAAAATTCATATAGGTGAAGCAAACCTCAAAATTAATTACGAATTGTTTTATAAATGATTCAATTCATTTTTAGTGCCCAATATTTTGTCTTTTTGTTTCAGACAGATTAAAACTCATACAAGTACGTACGCTTTGTTAATAAGAGCTTATAAAGCACAGCAAATTAATCACAGAGCACGTGTGGCGCAGTGGCGGGAGGCGCCCTGGGACACACACACACACACATGGAATCGCACCCTGTGCCCGTGGCTCACAAAGCCCTCCATCCCTCCGAAGTCGGTAAATTGGTACCTGACTTGTCTGGAAGGATAGTAGCACTGGCTCGATACATCGGTGGGCCACCGCCAGTCAATACAAAGTTCAGACATGCATTCAATCACCTCAAACGATGCTTAATGAGGTCGAATACACAGCACATCATAAGGGATTGATCAACGCCGACATCTCTTTTAAATTAAATTATACAGTCGCAGAATATATAACAAGCAAAATGAAAAACCACCGAGCTGGAATTTACAAATAACAACAAAAATCTGCAAACCTCTCGGAGCAATTTTATGTTCAAAATAGATTTAGTTGCCTTCACCCAGTTTCCAACCCTGCATAAATGCAGTGATTCACCAAATGCTCCATGGTAGGCAATCATATCAATACCTCAAGTGGCCGTGTGTGCTTCACACAAAGTGTTATCTCGAGCTGTGTATCATACAAGGTATATAGTTATGCCATTGTTAAATACGAAAGATAAGTGATAAGGCGTTAGACGTTGACTAATCCGATACAGATACGCTATTCCCTCCATTTGGTGGATTGCAGAAGTGATTACACGGATAGTTACCCTAGTAAAGTACCAAATCAGTGCTACTATTTTCTCAGGCAGCTCTTGTACCAACTAGCTGAGTCGGAAAGATAGGCGGTATGGATAATCCTAGGCACGAAATCGAACCATCGTCCGTGTAATGCAAGACAGCTCTAACCACCACACCATACGCGCTTTGTCAAATATACATATCGAACAGAAAACAAGAGAAAACCAATAGACTGATATGAATGTGAGTTTTTGCATGTCACGGAAATGTTTTTAACGATAAAATTGTTTGAACCGAGTTCATAATGTTCCAAATATAAGCTTACAAATGAGAATTAGAAACCATAGATGACGGAGAATAATTATAAAACCATAAATAACAATCCCTGAGGGATACGCCATGCATTCGACTTCATTAAGCATCGTTTGGAGGTGATTGAATGCACATCTGGCCTTTACAATGACTCGCGGTGGTCAACTGATGCTTCTAGCTAGTAATGCTAGCCTCCCAGATAAGTTTGGTACCAATTTTCCAACTCCGTATGGATGGAAGGCTTGGTGAGCCTGGGGCAACTGGATCGATCCCATGTGTATTGCAGGGTGTCCCCGACCACTGCGCCACACGAGCCCCTGGACTCGTATAACATTTAAATAGATGATTCGTTTAAAAACCAATGGTATTTTCACCGAAAGAACCACTGGCTGTTTTTAGACAACTTAACGATGTACCATCTACCGCCTCGGAAAAAAAAAAGAAACAAGGTAAAATAGGATATCGACTTTTAATACCGAAAAAAGTTTACAAAAAGATGGCTTCTGCAAGATGAAATAAAGTCAGAAAAATATTAAAGACAAGCTAACATTTATTTATTTTATTTGTCTCACAGAACCCGTCTTTACCACTACGTGCATTCCAGTGTTTCATGAATTCCATTCATTTCCTCGCATTCGTCATCCACGAAATTTGTCGAACATCGCGCAAGTTGTTATGGATGCTGTTTGAATATTTCGCCTTGTTTATGAATGTACCGCTGAATTCCGGTCGGTTCGATTTCCCTGAAGTCCTGCGATGGCAAGGATACAGCATAGTCACTTAGATTAGGGAGAGAACTGATCACAGACAACTCTGTTAGTAAGCTCACAACCCCAGAGTGATTAGGTTTGGTGAGGCTAGAGCTGGGTTGAACCAGTGCTGTGATCGTGATCTATTCGGCTTTACCAACCACCGTCAGATGTGATTGGATGCATTTCTCGCCTATACAGTGACTTTCGGTTAGCTACCAATATATCAAGTTAGTGTTGCTACCCTCGCAGACAAGTCTCGTAGCAATTTTCCGATTCTGAGTGAATGGAAGGTTTGGTGAAACAGGGGCGCAGGAGTGAACCATAGACAACGTGTATGGAAGCAACTTTTTAACCACTACGCTACGCGCGCTTCATTGGTAAATTTTTAACACTTTTTTTACATTTCACATGACCCGTTATCACAACTACTTCTCGAATTCCGCCACTTTTTGCATTCTTTTAGCTTTTCTCTCATTCATCGTCGACAATGATCTTTGACGATTTGTCGCCTTGTTTCAGCTGCCAATGGATTTCGTTTTCTTTATGAACATCACGCAATGCTGGTGGGGTCATATCCCTTTGTAGTCTTGGAATTGGTCGGGCTAAGGCGTCCTCACGTGGACTGGAGGAGAGCGTTGGAGCGGGGGATCGAACTACCGCATTCGCTTCCTGGTCAACAGCACGACTAACCACTGTGTTATCAGCGTCCCCATTAATAAACACTGCAAAAAAAAAGCAAACAGTTAAAAACCTGTCCTATATCCATAGTTCTAATTCCCACTGCAGGCTTAACCATGCAATGTCCTTGAAGATCAGTTTTGTTCTGACCACTCGATACCCAACTCGGTCCCATGTGGTTCAACACCACACGGATATATCCCACAAATTCTTAACTGCTGGCTAAAATAATGTCCAACAATTAGTTGCACAGGGTAATGTTAAGCACTCGACTATTTTCAAATCCGAGAAGAAATATTGGCCAGAACTAAAATTTAGCGGATCAGATGGGATTCGAAGCGATACGGTACCTCTGCATTTGTTTCGAGATGTTTTGACGTGGATTAACATGGAATAAACATGGCAAAAACAGATATTTTTCAAGGATTTGAAGAAAAAACCCAACGTCGTGCTGCTTCCAACATGGGCCTCAGAAAAAACACCCCAGCTATGAGTAGAAGATATGGAAAAAATTCTTTCTCCCTTAGATTACACATTTCTATCAATAAAGAAGCGGGTGAGATGTAAACTAGATAGGAAACAAACGATGTGTGATGGAATAGGAATGCCGACACGACGATAAGTGGCAAGAAAGTCGTAATCCTGTTAGAAAACGATATTCCAGATGATCTATAGAGTGATCTACAGAGAACATTGGTGGTGTTAATGGCGAGAAATCTTACAAATAGTGGTTACCAGCCGTTCAGCACTTACTTGTATAGTTGAAAAAACTCTTGCGTTCAGCCTCTGTCATCACGTCGAGTATGATTTCTTCTCCACTGTAGATGATCGACGTCGCAATAGATCTATAGAAACACGAATCGTCCACCGCTCGGCGGCCAGAGGAGGATCGCTCGGTCGGGCACGCGGCCGCGTTGCGCTCATTCGCTGCGGGACCCACTGGCGTTCGCACTGAAGGAATGGAGCAGCCTACGTCATCAAACGTAGGTTACGGTGAATATGGGGTTACGAGTTAACTCTAGTGATGAGGAACTTGTTGGTAAAACAGTCTGTAGTGTTTTATTTACTGCCTACTATTATTTTTCACGGCAGGATATGATGTGGAGCACCACCACTCTGAGACTGAGGTATTTGTAGAACGTGGACTCCAGTCCAGATTCGAGCCCGTGATTACCCTTTCCTGGGGTTCACATGTTATCACTACACCACTGAGACCTTTGCTTTGTCTTTTTGTAATTTCTCCGTTTGGCCGTGCTTAACTGTATTGCAAACTAGTTTACTATCAATGGTATCACGTTGACTTCTGGACTACAGCTAGGATCTGTTAGAGCATCTGTGATACAAACAGAGACAAATCTGGGCTTGGGTGACCATTATCAAACCCTCAAAAACCTGTAGTAGTAATTAACAAGCAAGCAGCATAAGAAATATGTGCTAACAACACTCGATCACATTATTCTGGTCAGAACAGCTGCGCGCAATCTATCGTAAATGAGTCCTTTCATCTTTGTCGAGATATAATTCATATAAGACTCATAATTTCTCAAAAATAACCCAGTTTATTTCGGATCCTGTTAAATGAAATAAGAACTGTTGGACTGTATCATCAAACAAGAGGCATGTTTTCTTATTCTACTACGATGGATTCATAGCTTACGAAGAAAACAAGTCATTTCCTTTTCTCCTTTTTCTCGTCCAGTCTTCTATTCCGAATAGCAAAGCATCAATTAGCGCTATTCTCTCGCAGTAGGCCACGGTTCTCCACAACACTGGAATCTTTTGCTGGTTAGGGGCCAGGCTATGTGGCGCGTCCCCGCGTGGCGGATAGGAGGTTTAGCACATACCTTTTCTGTTTACAAGGACGTATTTATGCATGCGTGCGTGGGAGTGTTCCCGTTTATGCGACTTGTATTCTACGAGTGAATACAACCAAAGCCTGCAATCAGGTGACAGAGAAGTGTATGGGAGACGGTTAAGAATCGCCTCCAACAAATAAGCTCCATGTCCACTCTGGGAGAGACTGGAAAGCTACCCATGAGTATGCCCAGCTCCCATGTACAAAGCTCCGCAAACTATGTGTGGGTATCAAACAGTAACCACCGTAAAATAAACGAGCCCCATTCCTCCGAACCTACAGGACCACGATACGGCAACGTTTGCTAAGACGAGTATGGAAAGGCTGCTAAAATCTCAGGGCCATTCAAGGCTGCTTAAATTGCAAAGTACTAAGGTGACGATCTGTACCTACAATACATGCGCATTTCCATCTGAGTTCTCGATAGAAGACTTGGTCATGTAAGCAAAAAGGATAAGTTACGACGTCATCGAACTGGCCAAGACGAGACGATGCCACCAATTCAACCTCGTCTGTGACACAGGAGAAGAACTGTTCCTCGGAACATGCGCCAGTGAAAGAGTAGGGAAGTCGGCGTTTTCGTTAATACGAGTTTAATCATGAACATCTATTCATTCGAGCAACCAAGAACCCCAATCAGACGTTTACGAATGAAGAAATGTGGCTCAATACCGGCTTTAACAATTCTCGTCGTCTATGCAACGACATTAGGCTATGGCGAAGAAGTCGAAGCGTTCTATATGGATTTGGAGAAGTTCTACAATGAAGACCCTACATCCTTCAAGGTCATTATTGGAGATTTTAACTCTAACATTTGACACAAAAGAATGTGTGAAAATGGAAGAGTAGGCTGTGTGATTTTATCATGGCGACCCAGATCATTCATGGCAACTCGCAATTCCAGAAGGCACACAGCACACACTCAACGCTGGACGTGGCAGTCTACTAGTGGAGAGTACCATAACGAAATAGAGCACATTAAAGTAAACCGAAGGTTTTGCCTACCCGATGTCGCTGTTGTCCCAAAATTCTACACAGGATCAGACTCTCTTTTCCTTCGTTCAAGATCTGATTTTTCGAAGAAGGAGGAAAAAGCAGCTCGATTATCAAAATGGAGTCTCAAAACCACCATAAACTAAGATTTATTCAATTCATTAATGGGCTGTTGGGAAGATGCCTTTCTTGACAATATCGATAATATTTGACGAAGAATGCGACCGGCTCATTCAACATCTCAACAATGGCGCTATAAAAGCTGAGAGCTGGAAAGTCACCAACAGACGTCTGTGTCCAGAATTACTCGAACTGACACGCCGCCAGCGTGGAATGCATGAGCTACAGGCAACCGACAACTCACGTTGGAGCTTGCAAAGCAATGCAGACAAGCGATAAAAGAAGTTTTTAAAGAGAGAAGAGCAGCAATTATGGTCGAAGCTGTAGAGGTTAAGAAAAACATTCACAAAGCCTACTGAAACTTCCCCAGCTGTAAAACTAGGACGGTTGTACCTCGACGCTCACATGGAACAGCTACAGCCTCCAGAAAGGAAATGGAGAAAATCATTCACGATTACTAACCACGTCCTCCTGCCCTCATCTGAAACAAAGGAGGATGGATATGTCGCCCCGTCGGTTCTCCCTACCTAAATCCGACATGTTATTTTGATGAATCGAGCAACACTGGTCCACACAGGACAAGGTCTGAACACCTGAAGAACGTTCTGCCAGCCCTCATAAACACGTTGGCTCGGCTCTTCACACGTTGCTTATCATAGCGCAAGGTTACTATTCAGCGGAAGACCAGCAAGGCCGTGTTATTGTTTAAGAATGATAACTTCCATGAAATCGGCAACTATCGCACAATATGCTTGCTGTCTGTTGTCTACAAACTCTTCACTAGAGTTATCCTAAAGAGGATTGACAAAATACTGGACAGAGGACACCCAGAGCAAGCAAAATTTCTGAAATGGTTCAGTACGGTGGACCACATCTGCACAGTTACAAGACTCATTGAAGTACCGCCAGAGTATAAGAGATCGTTGTCTCATTTTTACCGATTTAAAGAATGCTTTTGATTCAGTTGCAGTAAAAGCAGTTATGGAAATCCTGGGCAGCCAAGGAGTCCCTACTGAGTATATAAGGACTTTACGTGTGTGATATAGAAATTTTGCAACCAAGATATTTCCATTTTACAAGTACTTTGCCATCGACGTCGAAAAGGTGTTAGGCAAAGCGCTACAATCTCGCCAAAATTATTTACCGCCATCCTAGTTATCAATAAGCCAGCATTGCAGTGGATGTATTAAAGGTATGGTCTTATATGTTGATGAAAATAAGTGTAACAAGTGACTTCCGTCGCAAAAAAATTTAACTACAGTTTCCTGATAATGGAGTTGTGCCGCATTTTCTTTTCCTAATGGTTACTTGACTCGTGTGGCGCAATGGTCGGAGGCGCCCTGCAATACACACAAAGGATCGATCTCTGTGCCTCAGGCTCACCAAGCCTTCCATCCCTGGGTCGGCAAGTTGGTACCAGACTGGTCTGGATGAATGGCAGTACTGGCTCGATACATTGGTAGGGCACAGCGAGTCATTGTAAGGGCTATATATGGATTCAATCACCTCCAAACGATGCTTAGTGAAGTCGAATGCATGGCGCATCCCTTAGCGATTATGAGAAATAAGCAAGAGCTTACGTGCTATTTCACAAAAAGAACGAGCAGTAAATAAAAATTAAGCAATGTGGTCTCAATGTAAGTAATTTGCCAATTTTGGCGGGCTACGGGTTTGGATATATGCAAGATTTGAAGTAGAGTCCAGTGGATCTCACAGTTGCGCAGTCAACACGTCTACCACTTTTCCTCATTTATCATAGACTGACGACCGATTTTTAAGACGGTTTTTAAGGTTCCATCGTATTTTCCAGAAATCGGTATAACGAATTTTCCAAATTCCTTTTCCGTTGTGTATCCAAGTAAATTTCGGCACTGAATATTTACAGGTAGTCCATTTCTAGTTAATCCATTAGAGGGTGTCGCTATTGCTCATAACATAGAACATGAATAGAGTACCTTTTTCATCATAAGAATTCTAGCAAATTCTATCCATGGTGTGGAAACTATTAAGACATTGTCGCCTAATGGAGGAACGTCAATGATCATGAGCATTCCTACTCAAATTCTCAAGTACTCCGAAGTCATAGGTTGCTTTCGTTCTAAGAACGTGAAAATTTTCACTGCAACCTGGTGGAGCAATAAAAATCGAATCTTGTGAACTGCGTGTCCTCAGATGATTGAATGCCTGGTCTTGGGCAGTGCAGTGGTTCTGCTAAAAGGAAGGGGCAGTTTCATACTTGGGTGGAGCAGCTCAGATTACTTTGTTACTTTGGAGCCTTCACAGAGGATCACACATTATAGACCACGTTTTTACTAGTCGCGCGCCTTTCAGCGGAAGGAGATTTGCTATCTTGTGAGTAGGATAGTGCTAGGATGATTTCTGGTATAGTTTCCGAATTCCATATGGGAATGTAGACCTAATTCTCAGCTCGAAACACTATGCTACGCGACGGACAGTCTACAGTGTTTCGCATGACGGCGGCCACCCACGACCACTACAATCCCTGAACATATTGAAGCAACGGTAAACCTGTAGGAGTGAACAATGCAGCGGGGTTACGACTGTGTGATTTTGAAACATAGCCCAAATTGCTATCAGTAAGTCTATTCCTGAAGCTGATGATATGTTTTCGTTAGGACATTCACCGTTTCGCAATTTGGTTTTTGGATTCTTTGGTTAAAAAAGTACTACCCGTTCTTTCACCTGGCCCATTGTGGTTCAATGAATTAAGATTATGCGGCATTGGGTTTTATATAAAATTCTTACGATTAGACACTTACATAATCAGTTGCCTTTCTTAAAGCCCCAATTATGTTTAGTAAACTTTCAAAATGATGACAGAGGTTTATCTGTTGAACCAATTTTACGTCGTTCTTATGCTTGGTGTCCCTTAAATCAGTATCCCTTGACGTAAGTTCAACGCACTGAAAGCATTCACTCTTCAACTTTTTTATCCTCCCAGTCGTCTGTTACCAATTTTTCAATCCATCCAACTGAATCGAACCAACGACCTTTTGTATCGCAAGGCACCTCTAAATGCTGCGGTAAACAAACAGTTTCGACAAAATATTATGGTAAAACCCGAGTTAAGGAAACTGTCATGAAAGTAGTATATTCTGGGTTTGAAAATCCCTTTCGAATTTAATGCTTTGCAATGTGGAGTAATCGGAACAGCGAAAATGTAACCTTTTTTGTACTAGCAGCAGCAATGATTGTTTCTACGGTTTCTACGCTACGGCACGGCATTGATTTGTATTGTGTACTATCAGTATGGCTGGGGAGGTGTTCTTGGGTGTTTGACTGCCATGTAGAGCAGCAGGTTTACCCGATCAATGTCTCCCACGCTTAGAAGAAGTCCGACATTCTCATCTAGAAGCTCAGATAAAAAACAAACTATTCCGGAAGTGTATTCATGCACTTCGTGTATTGTTTCGGCTTCTGCTTGAGAATTTAATCTTTATCAATATCGCAGAATGCTGATCGAGTCGATTCTTCTTGTAATATTGGAGTTAGCCATGCCAAGGCGTTCTCATATGGATTGAGGAAAACTGATGGGAGAGGGTCGAACCAGAACCTTCCTGATGGACAACATCACTCCGTATAACAGAACTAATCTGCAAATAAAAGTTCTATAAATTCGTTGTTGGAGACTTCAGCATCCGATTAGGAGCGGCCGACGAAAATGAATACGGGGTGCGAAAATTTCAAATAGATCAAAATGAGGATACGAATTATCTCGCAGGACTCCTATCGACATCACATCTCTTCCATGAGAATCAATTTTTCGAGAACAGAAAAATCACCGGTAGACGTCGGAGTATCCTGGCGACACGACGCAGGAATTGATCGATCACATCCTCACAAAACGAATAGAAATCGTGCCTCTTTAACACTTCATTGGTAGCTGGATTCTGTACTAGATCTGATTTCCGCCTACTCCGTGTGAAGATCCGCTTCAGCTATACTCTGGAAAAAAGCTGTCATTGACCAAACTAAACAAGATAAATCGGGTACGAAGACGATGTTGTCATTAGAATCCTCTCTTCTGACTGGCAGATAAAGAAAGACCCGATCGAGGACTACAAGCTACTTGTCGAAGGACTTGAAACTTGTGCCGAACTCACCTCAGTTCTTCGAATAAGGAGCCCAGACCGCATATCCACTACCACCAAGGAGTTTCTTAAAAGAAGGAAGAAACTGGAACTTGATCCCAACACACCTAGCTCGGCTTAATAAATGTCACCTGTAGAAGATCTTTGCAGGAGATTTTACATTAGCACATACAGTACAAGTTTTTGGAAGCAGCTCAAAAACGATCTACTCTGAAGCAGTGCCGTCGGGATCTTTGCCGCTATAATGTTCCGCAATCCGGCTTGATTAACGAAGATAGAACTATCATTACATACTGCTACAATTTGGAATTAATAAGAGAACAGTTTTAATCCAGCATCTTCTGCTTGACACTCTCCGTTTCAGACCCTGAAATCCGCGCTAGTGAAAAACGGCCTGATATTCAACTTAGGTTTCGATGAAAAGCATGACAGTTCCAGGGCATGATAATATCACCACCAATTTCCTTGGGCTGGAGTGCATAAATTACTTGTACTTCTTCCATCCTTAACTCACTTTCACAAAGAGAAAATCATAGGCCTGTGGAGGGCCTCGCGTACGGTTAGACTGCCGATGGATGATGACTGAAGGAAACTTCATAACTATCGTTCTATAGGGTCGTTGAGTTCATTCTTCAAGCTATTCAAGAATATTAACCTGTCACGCGTTTTCGACAAGGACTCTCTGCTGCATAGACCACTTCCAAACCATCATAGAAATTTGCCAGAAGTAGCATTTTCCCTAGTCCTAACCTTAAACGACTACGAAAAAGAGTTTGACAGCGTCGGATCGGCTTCAATTTCACCAACGATCGTCGAGCAAGGAGTTGACCAGACCTCTACACGAATTCTAAATGACCTATTGAAACTGCAGTACAAAAATCTGCTTTTCCATCGGCTCCTTACATCAGAAAAAAGATTTGACAAAGTGGTATGTATGATTATTAAAGATTATAATATTAATAAATAAGCGGATCCCAGCAGTTCGTGCATACGATTCGCTTTCTCGCATCCGTCTTCAACAATAATCTTTGAACATGTATTCTTTCTTGATAAGCTTGCACGAGGTTGATAAATATATTTATTTTCGGCTAACGTTTCGACGTCTTCGTCTTCCTCAGAGCCGGTGATCCGAGTCGATGGTCCATGCTTGTTGTTCGCCTCGATGTTGCGTCTTCGCCTTCCTGTCGAGCCAGATCTTCCTCAGCGAGCCATCTTCTCGAATGAGGCATCCTCACTCAGTGATGCCCTTTTATACACGATGCTGATGGTGGATATATAATGGGAATGTCCGGTGGTAACAACTTGTATTTCTTCCGGACATACATCATTGCCCACATCGTGCAGAAGTCGGTGTATTATCAGCTAGCACAAAGCGTAGTAATATCTCGAAACCGACCTTCCCTAAACCTCGGTGTGACTAATCAATATGTATTCTTTCTTGATAAGCTTGCACGAGGTTGATAAATATATTTATTTTCGGCTAACGTTTCGACGTCTTCGTCTTCCTCAGAGCCGGTGATCCGAGTCGATAGTCCATGCTCATTCGAGAAGATGGCTCACTGAGGAAGATCTGGCTCGACACGAAGGCGAAGACGCAACGTCGAGGCGAGCAACAAGCATGGACCATCGACTCGGATCACCGGCTCTGAGGAAGACGAAGACGTCGAAACGTTAGCCGAAAATAAATATATTTATCAACCTCGTGCAAGCTTATCAAGAAAGAATACATATTGATTAGTCACACCGAGGTTTAGGGAAGGTCGGTTTCGAAATCTTTGAACATTTCGTACGTTGTTTCGGTGGCTTCTTGAGGATCTCGTCTTCTTTATAAAATTCGTAGGTCGCTGGTCAACTCGATTCTTTTTTCAATCCTAGGAATAGACGATTTAAAGCGTTCCCACGCGGATTGTCGAAGAGGTATTGGGGATAGAGTGCAAGAAAGCTTCCTAGAGGATTACACCACTAACTATTTCGCTACCACCCGGCAACTATTAGACGAACATAAACTCTTAGCAAGCATATTCACTTGGACACTTGGACGGCCCGTCCTCACTTGTTATGTGGGTTCTAGCATAATTTCCATTTGTTTCTCTCTTGCATAGTCGTCGTCTATGGTGGTGTTTGCTTGGGACACGTTGGCATCCGCAGGGCTCGTTCCGAATTCCTGAAATCGTTTCCATCTTCAGATGCAAATGGTTGACGTCACTCACGAACACGTCCTCTTATTGCTTGAGTTGTCTTAAAAGAGGCAGTTTACATTCTCTTGGAGTCCACTCCACTGCTTTTTTTTTCGTCCATGTGACGCGTGTTCTTAGTATTATGTATTATAAAAACCCTTCCATTTTTCACTTTTAGTGTACATTTTTCTTAGTGTGAAGATGGGATAGATTCCGAAGATCTTAGTTACAGACATCTTTTAAGCGTTCAGTGGTTGTGAGCAGAGTCGTTAACGTCACTGAAGCATTAACCCGTGCCTCTCCCAATACCTTACTCATGTTATTCTCAATATTCACTGAACGCCAGTGGTGGACTCAAGAAGTGGTATATGCAAACTTAAAACCGTCTAGTTATTTCTTCAGCGTTGCCCCATGAATGCTTCATGAATTTGGCCTGCACTATATCTACTATTACTCTTATTTGTTGCCGGTCTTCTTTGAGCTAGTAGAAACCACATCTGAGAAATCTGACATTGGTCTGGAAATGAAACTAATTAAAAGGGCAATCCAATGTAAAGCGTTCTTGCCAATCGTATGAAAAACGACCATAGAGGGATAATAAATACGAGACGAGATGAACGGGTCTTTCAGAATAACATCGTAGTAAAGAGGTCTCTTCTAATTTCTTCTTAGGTACTCATTAGAAAGTACCGTTATACAGGTTGAAGTTTATAACAAATCAGGTACTTTTAAGCGCTTACAAAATTTAGTGCACATCTTTTT